GTCCTATGTAAATGAAAGTATATAATAAAGGCTTCGAGCCCTACAAGAACAGTTCAGTTAGTGCTTATCATAAATTCACTCCTAATAATTCCCAGTTTAATTATATTATAAAACCTACGATCACAAACACACCACTCGCCAAATCTAACCGCCTCTTATCGTTCGTAGGTTACACGACATATCCGTTTGAGAAGCGACTGACTCGCCGTATCACTCGTGTTAATATCAAATCAGAATCAATATTTAAACACGAGTCGTACATCTTGGTTCATACCCTTACGGTCTAGTGTCCCAAAAAATAATTACAAATAATTTTCGCTAATTAAAGTTTATTAATCTAAGACATAATATGAATTTAGTATAACGTAAGACATACTAAGTTAGGAAATTTGATCCAAGGCCTGTTATAATTACAAAGTGAAACAAAGCGAAAAATCAGCAATTAAAAATTATACAAGAATAAATTAAGCACTACGTACAAGCTGAACATACTAACTTTGGAAATTTAATCTAAAGGTGTGAAACTTTTTAGAATTACAATGCGAAAGATTAGAAATTAAAATTTTATGCAATTATTAACTAAAAAGTTAGAAATTAAAATTAATTAAATTTGATTAAATTGGCTCAAAAAAAAAAAACGATTAAATGGCTTATATACTTGTTGGTAAAATATGAAAAAAAATTTCCTGTATAACCTAATAAAATTGCATTCTTCAAGAACTATATAAAATGTACCGAATTTATTTTGTTCAAAAGTGACTCTTACAATTATTCCTATGTATAAATATAAAATGAAGTTAATCATATTTGTCACTCTTTTGGCCATCTTTTCTACAAGATTAGCTAGTGCTGTTATGACTGGAACCTATTTTGACCGCTATTTTGTAATTTGGTTCGAAAACGTAGATTATAATACAGCAATACAAAACCCTTATTTGCAAAGCTTATAATAGTCCTGAAGGTCTTCTTCTTAATGATTTTTATGCAGTTAGTTCTACATGTGAGGTACATTATGTTTTTCAACTTTATGAATTTTATATTTAAAAATACAGACAAATGATTTATTTGTACATTCTATTATTAGTTCGATTACATTGCCTCAATCTATGGTTCAATTGTTAGTATCTCCAATGGTAATTTCTCTGGATGCAACATTGTTGACCTTCTTGAGAGCAAAGGGATCACTTGGAAAGCTTATTTCGAGAACTATAGTAAATTTATTAATACAATTATGTTTACATTTTTACTTTTGACTCTTATTAACTTTTATATTGTTTTGTAGCTTGCGGCGTTTGTTATACTGATAGCTTTTGCCCCCTGGCACTGATCTTTATACAAGAAAATATGATCCTTTTATTGATATGGAAGGTATAAGAATAAACTCTGTACGTTGTAGTAAAATAGTGGATGCCTCACAACTTGATACTGACATAAGTAACAATCAAGTACCACAATTTGCTTATTACGTGCCGAACCAAATTGACGATGGCCATGATACTAGTTTTAATTATTCGATGACTTGGTTTCAAAGCTGGTTTGACGCGAGACGTAATAATCCCAGCTTTACCATGAACACATTATTTATCATAGTTTGGGCTTGTGGTGTATCAAATAATCATGTCCCCTGCATTCTTTATGGTTCTCCAGTCAATCCTCCATCCAATCATCAAGATAATACCAATTATTCAACTTATTCAATAATGTCTACTGCTGAAGTAAATTGGAATTTAGGATCTTGTAAAAAAAATTAATCTCCGTTTACTAAGTACCTTAAACATCCTTAATGTCACTCAATTTTATTTTTTTATTTCTATAAATCATATTCTTTTATTATTATTATTATTATCATTATTATTATTATTATTTATTATATTATATATTATGTATTATAATCGTTATCATCAGGAGATTAAATAAGGTAGGTATATGCGGTATTCTTTGGCAGCTAAAAAACTGCATAATTCAGCGATTTACAAGTACAACAAACTGCGGAATTAATTATTTTAAATAATTACAGAAATAATCGGTTGTAGAGAAATCATATATAAAGGATAATGCAAAATAATCATCCATAAAAATAATGCGAAAACACATTTTACGAAATTATTATATTAACATAGCGATAGATAAGTACAAATTTAATAAATAAGTATTACATTTACGAAGATAAGGGCACATAAATGATCATTATTCAGCAAACCTTCAAAACGTTAAAAGTGTACTATTCATAAATTTACTCGGATAATCTCACATATTCATATTCAGAAAGTTCTTCAATTTCGTATCGTCATGGTCATTTGCTTTATTTCCGTCATCTCGAATATCAATGAGATCATTTTCACTAGGGATTTGATTTGCATTTAATTGTACCTATAAAAAATAATTTATTAATTATATACTGTAATAAAGTAAAATTCAATAACCATCATAAAGTAATACTTAATAACGATGATAAAACTCAAAGTATAAATAAAAATGAATATGTATCAGGAAAATATTACAACGATTTTTAATGGCATTCTCAGTGCATCGAATGTCTTTATCGTGTGAAGCTAAAACAATACAGCAAATCGCAGTACAAAAGCAATAATTGGCAGGTTTAAACAGTCTTCCTTAGCTTCTCTAGTGTCATAGTTCAAGGCGGAACTACCCTATTCATAGGTCGGATGTAATAGTACTCAAAAGAGGCGTCGGATTTGGTGACTACTAAAGGTGGGTATACTTTATTACAATATTTCGAGACTGTCCTTTTTCTATTTGAACATATTTCTTATATACTTGTTTCTATCTGCTAAATATACTAAAGTACTAATTATACTATATTTGCTAATTGCTATTTCTATTAATAAGGTAGCTGTGCGACACAGCGACACTAGAAACCAGGAATGAAAGCAAATATTGTAGTTAACAAATAGTCTAAGTAACATTCAAGCAAGAACTGATCTAGCACCTCATTAATATATTGTGAAGCATTTGATATACATTACTTAGCAGTTGACTCACATCAGACAATCAAACAGAAGTTTACAAGGTATCATATAATAAATCAAAAAATCTTAGGAAAAAGAATACCAAACATCACATTGCTTACTTTTGTATTCAAATTATACTTTTTAATTTGATGTATATGTGTAATGAATTCATCTGTGAAAAATAACCAACATTTGATGAACACACGGACCAATCAAACTTAAGATTTCGCGAACAATCCCACTTCAAACAGCATATAATCTACACACTCATTACATTTGTTCTTGGTACACCCATTACATTCATTCCTGGTATCATTACATTTGTTACTGGTAAAGATCTTTAAAATAAGACTTTACTAAGCCAATTGATTAGCAACCTATTGTGTTAAAATGTAAAAAGGTCAAAGAGCTTATATGCTTAAATAAATGGTTGTGAGAATGATGCTAGAAGACTAGCTTTTATGACACTTGTAGGAACAGTTAAGTTATCAATATAATGAATCAACAAAAGACAAGATCGTCGTAGACTTCAAAATAATATTGTTAAGAAAATAAACTTAAGAGGTGAATATAATATGTTTTATATATTTACCAGATATAATGTTAAAAATCGCCAATTATAAATGCAAGTATTTATTAATCAGGTGACTCATATTTAGAAATACAAGAAAACAATATATTCACACTATAGTGAAATTCTCTATAGGCTCGAAAATGTTAGACTCGAAAATATTATATAATTAATTCCATTATATCAAAAGTTCACTCTGACAAAGGTGAGCTGTATTTGGTACTGGTTCTTTTCGTTATTTAACTCACGAATATATTTTTAAAACTCTACAACCTTTTGTGGCTTCATTTTAATTATTTATTTATGCTAATTTGGTTCATGATCTAAAGGAGATTCGTTTATAAATCCAGTTACAGTAAAATTTTACTATAACAGATTTATAAATTTTTAATTTTTTAAATTTAGATTATTGAGTTTGTAACACGTAGATTTTGTATGTTAATTATCCAACATTATTTGAACAATTTAATTCCGTTTACTGTTCATTTTAAAACTGATGAAGATTATTATTTATTAATCAAAATTATTTTTAGAATCAGGTCTACTGAATAATTGATTGCGAGGGCAATTAATCGCAACTATTCTAACTATAGTTGTTAGATGAAACTGTTTTTGGGTAATGACGAAAGATGAAACCTAAGCCCAGCGAAAGACGAAACTGACGAAACTCTGACGAAAGACGAAACCCCTGACAAAAGACGAAACCCTTTTACGAAATACGAAACCCTTGACGAAAGACAAAACCTTTGACGAAAGACGAAACCCCTGTCGAAAGGTGAAACCCCCGGCGAAGGTAAAAGCTCTTAGCAAAGTCTGAATTCTCTAAAACTCTGACAAAAGCTAGACCATGTTGATGAACGAAAATATTTGCTTGTGTTAGCATGTGGCTCATATAATGAACATACATACATACGTGCCTGAGCCAGGTTGATAAATAAAATATTTGCATGTGACTATAAACACAACATGAAATAAAAAGATTATGACTTTATGTTTGTATTTGAGTACTTCTAAAAACAAATTAGGAACTTATAATCAAATCAACTTAGCCTTAACAATTCTAAGTCTGAAAAGTTATTTTCTTTTAGAAATGTTTAGTTATATATTAATTTTATTTATCGTTATGTAAAAATTTTAAATAAATTAATACGTATTACTTATGTAATAAGATAGCTGCGTGACAATGTCACGCGAAACTAGGAACGGGAGACGTGAGGAGTATCGGTATTGTATTTAGTAAATATATAATTTGCATATGTGCCATGTTCGTGGTGTGGCAAAAATTCTTTAAAGATTGTTTATGGTAGAATCAAGTTTTAGGGATTAGAAAGGGATAAGTTTATATGGTAAAATTTCTCAACGGAAACTTTTTTTTAAAGTACTAAAGGTGGTTACTAATGCTGATTTTTGAAAAATAAGCAATTTTTGACAAAATGAAAGTTTGTTTTGAATTTTCTTGAGCGTATTATGTTTCACCTGAATTTGAGATCTGATTCGTAGTTTAGGAAATATGCGCAATAAGTAGAGTTGGAAGCATAGAAAATTTTTGGAGGCGCATCCCTTTGCCCCCTATAGATATATATATAATATATCAGAAAATTTTAAAATTAAGGTTTTTAACGATTTTATCACCTCCATCAATTAAAATCGATTGGATTTTTACAGTTTTATCAATTATATTTGATATAAACTATCGCTATCAATTATAACCAATTAGGTTTATATCGATTTTAATTATTAACCATTATTATCAATTTTGATATGAATCAATTATCAACACCACCGTCCATTATAATCGATTAACTGTTTGTAACTGATTATAATCAGGTTTTAATTTATATTTATACGCCACTCTCGATATAACGTAGTACCTCGAGGCATAGTGAGGAATTTTTTAAAATCCGCTTTATTGTAAGTTTTGTTGGTAATATTTATTATGATGTGGATCTGAATCTTGATCCATTATATCAAGATTTTGCTTAGTCTCCGTCATGTCAAGAGTCCGTTATATCGAGAGTGTATAAGCAGGAATGAACTAGTTTATTAACTATGCACTCATTTAAGAGATGTTTCGAGGTTTAATTACGATGTAAGGTACATTATTTTAATGAGCAGTACTAGGACAGCTTATACAAATATAGATTTATTACAAACTTTTAATTATATAATTGCATGAAAGCACCTCGTGTTAGCTAACAATGTAAAAGAAATGGAAAAAATCACCAGAAACCCCTTTAAAGTTAAATACTAAATTAATGAATCAAGCTCGAGGACTAATTTTAACTTTCAGCTCCTGACAGTTCGTAGTGGCGAGAGTAAGAATTTTTAATGGTTCATTCATATCCACCAATTCAATATTATAGTTTTTAAATACTAAAACCATGGATAAAAGTAACTCTGTCATTGCCAACTTTCTTCCAGGACATATTCGCCTGCCTCCACCAAACATCATAAAAGCAAATTTGTCGCCTAAGCTTTTGTCATCTTGATCCTTATTATAAAACCTATCCGGATTGAAAACTTCTGGATCAGGCCAAAATTCTGGGTGACCATGTATCGCTAGATAGTTTATAAGAAAATTTGTCCCACGAGTCCATTTATACCCTGCAATTTCACAGTCTTCAGTAATAGTGCGGAATGCAAAAGGAGCTACTGGCACCATACGATAAGCTTCCTTAATTATGGCTTCACAATATTTTAGTTTTTGGAGGTCGTTGTTCGATATATCAGAAGTTTTAGGCAAAATAAGATCAATTTCTGAAAGCATTTTTTGCTTTACATCTGGATTTTTACAAATAAAGTAGGTTATAAAGCAGAATAAATTTGCAGTCTAAATATAAGTAAATATAAGTTAATAAATACAGAAATTAGTAAATAAAAAAGCAAAATACTAAATGTAAAGCAACACTCACAGTATCTGTTCCACCCAAGAAAGCATCTAATATATTACCTCTGATCTCTTCATCAGCTATTAATTTTAATGCCTCGTCATTTGAATCTTTTGCATTTGTGTTTGCAGTGATTAAAGAAGTAAGCATATCAACTCTCATTTCTGAATCTACTGACATTTTTTTGATATCTTCTTTTCTCTTCCTTATTATTTTATTTAATTTACCAAACAAATAATCACGATTCTTTAAATAAGACTCGTTTTTGTCTTTGACCATTGGAATGTAATGCCTTATAAAGGGACCGAAAAATGAAAAGAATGTGATACATTCAATATACTGTATAATTGATTTGACGAATTTGTCCCCATCCTCGACTAGTGCATCAGAATATTCAGATTTGATACGACTTTGCGTGTTATAATAGGATGCAATTGAATACGTGCGTTCTCCAGTGATTACTATTGAAATAATATCATTTGTATATCTGTGAAACCATTTAGCCAAATCTGTTTCGTATGTCCAATTATCGTTACCATAATTTGAAGTATTTTGATTTCCAAGTGACTGCCAATAACCACTTAATTCTTCATACAATTTAATTGTAGACTTTACAACATTATCCATATATCTTTGTGGCAAAAATGCATCCGTAAAGAATTTACTATTAGATCTCCAACTTTCATAATCATCATTGAAAACGATTCCATGTCCGTACATTCCCATTTCATCCAAACCTTGAGAATATGGAAGCTTCGCATGAAATACTTTACGATCAAGAACTTTATCAATATAATTTGGATGAGAAAGAACGATGTATCTATGACCAAGCATCGCTTCACTAATACCTCCATATTTTGGTTGACATTGTATATAGAATTGTCTTACGTCACTGCCAAGATTATGATAGTTACCAATGATTGGTAAAGGTAATGGGCCAGGAAGTGGATTGGGACGAGTAAAGTATTTGTAATAAAAGTTAAGGACATAGATAATGGTGAAGAAGATGAATAAGTGGAAATAGTCTGTAGTAGTAACGAATTTAATAATACCTTGTTGAATAGCCATCTTTTACTTGGATTATGTACACTTGTACTGATACTTATATTTTTTAATAAATATATTTATTTATTTTTAGAAATGCATTTATTTGTGATGATGATAAATAACGCTAACGTTATAAGATCAATTCAAGACTGCAAAAAAATTTTTAACATGAACCTCTGTTTTGCGAACATTCTTTTTTCCGAAAAAATAATCAATAATAAACTAACTACAGTAATTTATTATATTTACACAATTATGGTTTAATTCTATTCTGAGTCTATTTTTCTTAACCTTTCATTTTTATCTAGCATCTATCTTGATAATTAACATGATTACTCTCGTATTGCGAGATATCGGTAATTTGCAAGAGTCCGAAGATTTACGCCGATCAACCCTATCAGTACTTCGTACTATTTCGTACTAAATTTGTAGATCTTTATTAGGTAAACTAGGTTAGACTTTTGAGTATTTATAATCCAATCATTATTGCAAATCTCACTCGCTAATTAATTGTCTACTATCCTGGTTGAGTATTTCCTTCCGATAGGATTATGGCTGTTTTCAAAAAGATGTGAACAGACACAGATCACGATATCATTGGAAATATACGAAATTTCTCAGATTTTCTGAATTTTCAAAAGCAAGCTCTAATCGGACTTCAACTTTTACTAATCAGAATTTTTCGATTTCCCACATAGGTATATGGATATCGTTGTTCACACCTTTTTGAAAACAGCTGTAAATAATATAACACTTTTGTTTCCCACTTTGGGAGAATATCCGATAGGTTCAATCAGTTGGGGCCAGAAGGGGTTTACTTCTCCTTCCCACCTACTCGGGAAATAGATAATATTTATTTTATTTTCACCCTCACCCTAATATAAAAATTAATCGACGATTATTCTGATGAATTCAATAGGTCTTTAAATTCGTGTTATCGACATTGGATTTTCAGCATTGCAGTAATGCCGATAACACTGAATTTAAAAAACGTATCAAATTCGTCCAGATAATCATCTATAATTTTTATCAATTGTCCCAGAATTAAAGCAGTAATTTTTAATATACAAAAATAGAATCCTTCTATTTTCACGTGAGAGATTAATAATACTAGGGTGAAGGTTACTTGAGTGAAAATAAAATTCTTCTTACTTTGCATTATTTATTTATTTGTTTATCTCTTTTCTCTATATGAGGGTGCAATTGTATTTAATCGTTAATTTTAATCGTTACTGCAGTTTGCAAAAATGTGCGACCTCTGCAAATCATGGTGTCATGTAAAATCGCGGTAAATTATGCGAATTTTCTATTATAAGAAAATCTCACATATTTTACAGCTGTTTTAAATAGTCGTGGAAACAGGGATGTGAATAGACATAGTCTAATCAAAATCTTATTGTTTAATTGTCTAATGCCTATTCAGTATTTATATTAGTTAGTTTATGATATCTAAATTAACCAATCAGCCTATATATTTCTTTGTCTATTAGACTGCCTATTAAGTCTATTGGCTTATTTACAACCATGGTGGAAAGATGCAGACCACTATACATAAGGAGTTCAAGATATTTATATTTCTAATTAAATCTTTATGGCAGGCGTGATATATACCTGTGTGGGAAATGAAGAATCGGGAATTCTGATTAGTAAAAGTTGAAGGTCTGATTAGAGCTAGCTTTGAAAATTCTGGAAATCTGGGAAATTTCGTAAATTTCCAGTAATATGGTGATCTGCACCTTTTTGAAAACAACCATAATTTTTACCAATCAGAATTTCCAAATTCTTCGATTTCCACATCTCTTTGAGGATAATTTTAGACATTATTGCGGTTTGAAAAAAGGTGTGCCATCTGCTGGTCATCGTGTAAATCACTGGAGATTCCAAAATAACTATAAATCGTATTAATTGAATATATTGGTGATAGACAATTTAGAATTTCTAAAATTTCCCACAATCATTATCACGACAATAGTTGGGTCACACCTTTTTGCAACCCTCTATACTTTATATTAATATGATTGTTAGATAATTTAGAATCTCTAAATTTCCCATTAACGTTATAACGAAAATCGTTGGATCACACCTTCCGATATATCGATTAGATCGATATAATCGTTTAGATTGTTTCTAAAAATGATTACATATTTTTAGAACCGATTTTTAATTTAGAACTGATCTAAACCATACAATTGTTTTATATCAAATACTTAAGCGTCCAAATTTCAATTACCTCACTGCTTTCGGATAAGAATAATAAAACAAAGTAGCTATTATAGCGAGCAATGATCAGGAAAATTTTCCGAAATTCTAAATTGTCTATCATTTATATTTTCGGTCTGTTATTTACATTTATTCGAAATAGTAAACTTCTTAAAATCTACAGAATCTTCAATTATCATATGGTATTGTAATTTGCAGTGGTTACATATTTTAGCGAAGCGCAATAACAATTATAGAGCGCATTGTGTTTGTTATTAAAAATTATAGGGTGCATCATGCCATTAAAATTTAAGTCAACAGTTTGTATTCAACCATCTTTTAATTACTAGTTCTTATTTAAAATTTAAGACTCGTTCGAATAATAATTCAGCATTTATTAGTAATTTATTTTATAAAGTGAGTCATATGTTTAATATTGTTATAGAGCTAGACATCAGCTTAAAAACAACACAAATTTGGTTAATCGGGAATGTTAAATAATCAAAGTCACTGCATATTGGATTCACAGCCTTTGTCATAAATGACTGAAATCACAATTTATTAGTTTTATCATATATGCGTAAAATTTGTAATACTTACATAAATTCTTTTTTCTTGCAGTGTTTCTTAATGCACATTTTCTCTCTCTCAGCTTATTATAGAGTCAAATTGGCATCATCGTACTTTGCTCTTTCGAACAAGATGGTATCAATACTAATAAATACACAAATAGAATAAAAGGTGTAAAATAAAGTTATATTAAATAAAAAGAATATACCCAGATTTGTGCAATTGACCGGATATCATTTCACACGTTCTAGCGATAATTCATGTCTATATTCGTGTCAAACCGTATAGTACATATATGGTAATCAGTGATCAAAATTTCAAGACTTATTATGAGAACAATTATGACTATAACATTAGGAATGTGCCGAATATTAGTTGAGATCAATCTACTATAGTGTTTTTCCTTTTAAGAAAATTGAACTATAATAATTGGTTATATGCATGTATTTGTTTATCGAACGGGTCTGATTAGTTAAAATAATTGATCGTGATTATCATTTAGGTCGAAAAATTGTGATTAGCAAGCGATCCAATCATGCTCAATCATTATGGTTAATTGAAATAATCTTTACGCAATTTTGCTGGAGATCCATAATACTGTAATACAAAATTGATACCGTTGTATTAAATTTTAGCCAATCAGCATAAACAATTCTATGATAAAAAAATATGGTCTTGACCATTTCTTTTGTTGCGATGATGAAATCAATTTTTACAGAAGGACCCCAAATTTTCGGGTTGGATATATCGGATTTAGACCGGCATTTAGCAATATAAGTCAACTATTTCTGGGCCAAAATAATCAACTGTGCAGCTTTTTTGATACGTGAGCTATACCTTCATTAGTAAAACTTTTGTGGCCTTATAAAAAAGTTAGAACCAAATTTCAAATCAATTACATAGTATATTCTCAGCACTTTGTTATTTGTTAATTGGATATTAATTATTAATAATTTAGAAGGTCCTATTACTAGTTAATTACTGACAAGTACTTCTGTTAAGAATATTTAGTATTAGATAAAATGCATAATTTAAAAAAGTCCTGATGCATGAAATCCTAAACTTGGTTCTTGATAATGGTTCACTTGACTGTGGTTAGTGTTTCAATTGTGATTCTGACACAATTGGGAATCTGGGAGCACACTCACTCATCTAACAACCCATGGATTTCACAAGTAAAATTTTTTATAGTATAAATGCATGCTGAAGTTTAAGAAGAAAACAAAATATTTATAATTAATGTAATACAAAAAAAAAGTAAATTTAGTAACTAGGAAAACATGTGTTGTTGTAAATCTAGAGTGAATTAAAGAAATTGTCCAATTATTGTCAGACGATCTACCAAAACATACTAATTCATATTACTTTGTATGTATCTATTACAATCTAAAAATAGCCTCTGTAATGTCTTACAAAAAATCATCAATGGAATGACAATCTATCTTGCAGTTGTATGTACCTACCAAGCTTCATCAAGTGCCATAGATCTCATAGCAAAGCAGTATTTACATATGATGATGGTTGGCATCATTAAAAAAGTAAAACCCAAGATGAAATTGTTATTGAAACAAAATCTGAGTTATGAAAATAAAAGAAAAAGTCATCAAAATCTTATAAGAAGCATTCAAATTCTTCTTTTTTTTTAGTAGTATTCTTTAAATATAAGTTGGGTTTTCTCTGATAAAAAAGAATAGTACATAGTTCTTAGAAGTACATAATTCAGAGAATTCGTAATTCAATTAGTGTATTTATCTTATATAATAAATTTAGGCTGAACTATAGTTTAGCATGTACTAATGCATGCAATTGTCACAATGTGATATCATCAGATTGGTAATATGCTGTG